AAAATTCATCTTGACGAAGGAGTTGTCAAAGTTGAAATCCTGTAGCAATTTGTTTTTTAAAACCCATATTTTAAAAACCAAATCAAGATTTCCCGATCGAAAGCACCCTTTAAATAAAAATTAAATTTTTGTGCAATCAAGTTTAATTAATCACAATTAAGTAGAAGGGGAGAAGAGCCTCGAGATACGTTTTGTTTTGATTAATTCTTCAAGCCTTGGTAAACGAGTATTCTCCTCGAATACTGAGGTTCGGGCGCTTAGCGCGCGGGGTTTCCTCACTTTTTCGGGCATAAGTGTCATTTTCTCTTCGGAAAGCTGCAAGTACCGCAAAGTGCCCAACAAATACCCCGGGGAAGATGGGCACGCTAGAAAAGTTTCAGTGGAGCTGGGACTATAGGCCTGAGTAGCCTTGGGTGTGAAGCACGCGGTTTTTTGGTGCTTTTTTCTTTCGTGTTTCGTATTCCTTTCTTTACAAAGCACAAGCGAAATCCTCACAAAAATGCCGCCACCTACGTACGCAGGCTAAGGCCCGGGGTTAGAGGCGCGTGCAAAATCCCTTCTACCATATATAATATTGTTTTTGAAAATTAATATTTCGAAATTACGTTTACTTACGACTTAGGATTTTTTTCCACAAGAAGAGTTAATGGCTTGCTCTCTCTTCATAACTTTTGCCAAAACGGGGACTTTATTACAGGGCTTATTCCGCAAGCGAGCAAGGTGAAACGAGTCCTTTGGTCTCAAGCTGGGCCCATGCTCTTGCTCGCCCAGGATGGCCCACGAAAAAATTTAAGTGAGCATGTTCAGCCTCATCTTGGTGTAATTATTCCACATGTGGTGAAATTGTTTTGGATATTTCGGGAGTAGATTGTGCGATAAGATGGGACTATTATGCGATAAATTATGCGATTTTTTCAGGGTTAATTTACATTGTTTAACAAGGTTTTCAAAGGAGAAAAATCACTTTAATGTTGTTTAACAGGCAATTTGAATGTAAAAGAATAATAAAACATCTATTTCAAAACAATATACCTTATTCTCCTTTATTTTCGCGGGACTTAAATTTTGCGAAAATTTTCTCGGCACATTTCGCGAGTCTTTAATTTCGCGATCGCGGAGAAAAATTGTGTTTGCAGGGAATTTAATTTCGCTTTTTTACAAAAAATTTACGTTAATCAACAATTGAAACAAAACCAATATGCTGTCCCTGTTGAGGTGATATGTGAAATGGACGATACACCAAGGAACAGGGCAATAATGGAAAGATACAAGACACTCGTAACTACACACTACAAGGAGCCGGGACAGGATGGTCAATTTGTACAAAGGATGTATTGGAAGAACTGTGCGAAGATGATTACTCAGATGCCGAAGAAGAACTTGAGGCGAATCTTGACACTGATTAACATCTAAAGTTGATAGATGATAGCTCCTTGTACTAACACCTTGTGTTAAAAATTGTTTAGGACCCTTGAAAACACAAATACATGATTTTTCTATCTCCATTAAATTTTGCGAGATCAAAGTTCGCGGTCGTTATTTTTCGCAGATCTTTAAGTTCGCGAATTTTTTTAAAATCGCGAAAATCGCGAATTTAAGAACCCGCGAAAATTAACAGCTGAATTAAGGAGAATAAGGTAGTTAAATTTGTCCAATTTTCTTGACCCAGAAAAAAAACAAATAGAAAGCAAGAAAAAAGGACACTTGTTTAATATTACATGACGCCGTTACACCGCTGACCGCACTGCTTGTCTCTGAAATCAAAATGGCTGCTCAGAACTCTGCTCAGATACCTTGGTCGAAGGTTTCAGACGTCTTGCAAGGCTATCTTTAGTGGTAAATCACTTTAAATAACATTAAGATTAGGAAAATGTTTGATTAAAGTTAGAATTTATTATTTGCTTTACTTGACTTAAGCATTTTTTTACGAATTACGCGATTTTCCTCAAATTGTGCGATCGGGTGCGATTGACAGGATTTGAGGATCGCACCATCGCGTGATATCAGATAGCCTGTTAAAAGTTAAACTTCTGATTATTTACTTTTAAGGCTAAAGAAGATGAAATCTCCCTGGATGATATCAAAAAAGTTGGCGACGGTAGGTAAATAACAAGACTATCCTGGTATAATTTATCACATTATAAATGTTAGGTTACATATTATTAATGTAGATTAATAATACAGAACTTACCTTATCTCTAATTTGTAGTGTTAAGGAACTTAAATGATGGATGGAGTGGTCTATTTCCTATCAGAGTAGAAAACAAGGTTTGCTTCAAATACGATATTGTTTTCTTTATCTTGTATTATTTAAAAAATGGAATATGCATTAATTTTGTGTTTTTCAGTGTGACATTAGCCTCCCTGCAGACGTCCTTTGGGGTTTGTTCGTCACACATTCATTTCTCCCCCACGATGTCTGCTAAACACAGCGAACATTTACGTTCTTGTTTGTTTGAATAAGCCAATAAGTGGTTAGTTATTGTGTCACGATCAGCCAATAACAAGCTGCGATACAACTGAAGCAGCACCTACGAATTATTTCTCACTTTTTCAGAGGAATATTTATTCCATGCCTATGCATGGATGAGACTCCGAAGAAAGTTGTAAGAAGTGATTTTTTTTGTTTTCTTTGCAGCTGTAATTTAGGAAAGGACCAAGTTTGTGTGTTTAGAAAAAGCGTGGTCAACATTGCAAGCCTCATCAAACGTGCTCTGTACGTTGATATGTCTTTGTATTCTTCAAGTGAATTATTTATTTGCACAGCTATCTTCTACCTGAGACAACTCAAATGTTTTGAAAAAATCACAGAAATGATGCAATAAAGCTGTAGTCAGCTGTACAGTTTTTCCGGAAGTTGTTGTAAGTATAAAATAATCTGCTTTTCTTTGAAAGACTACAGAAAACAGTGTCTCACAGGAGCGTGGAGCGGTTTTCAGCACGGTTGAAAACAGTTCCTATTAACTCTGTATATATTCGAAGTATTAAGAAAAGAGAACTTGGAAATGTGTATAGGGAAGATTTTCAAAGCATTCTTTGAAAAAAAAGGGTGTTTCCTTTTTTGCGAAATGTAATTCCACCAAGGTCGTGGCTCACAAACCAAGCACCAATACACGAAATTTGGTTATATTTTTTCAAGAGTCGGTAAAACAAAATATTCAAAGTCTACAGCAATGTGCTTCCAGCGGCAGAAAATGGTTATCTGAAAACTTGTTCTGCAAAAAGGCACGTCTTCCCGTTGCATTTCATTTATTCACAAGCTAAGTAAACATGACTCCGGTGCTGCCGAAGTCCAAACTTCAAGCTAGAATGACATATTAACCTACCTGTCAACAAACTTTAATTTGGCTCCTTCAATGAAAGAAACAATGCTTATAATCAATAAATCATTGGACCTTTCATTTTTCACCATATTTTATCTCTCAACGAAATATTTAATCATGCTGCAGCTTGGAAAAGTCGTGGACCAAGGCCAACATACTAACTGAGCAAGTCACTCGCTAACATTTCCTGCACCGATCAATCTTCAACCAAGCTTCTGGGCTTCCGCAAACAACAAAGAAAGCCCCTCTCTCGACAACCTTCATATTTTCTTCGCTAAAATCACTGAGCGTTACAGCAGGAATACCAATATTTGCCACCTTTGTAGCTTGATCTTTCATAAGACTTACCAGGGGCGAAATAACAACAACAACAATATGTCCAGTAGTTCTACGCACTGTGTCACAAAAAAGCGGCAAAGCTTGATACATAAGGGATTTGCCAAATCCCGTCGGCAAATTTATGAACTTATCGGTCTTCTCTATAAAATTTGCAGGATAGCTTCTCTCTGATACTTGTTTAACTCTGTATTTATTACAAATTTCTCGCACACCCGATCAAAAGCCTCACTGATCGTGTTAATCTGAACAAGCGGCTCGTGTTACATTTTATAAAAATCCTTAAACAGCCTGTGATTGGTGAACGTAAATGTCGGCTGTGTTTAGCAGACATCCGTGAGGAAGAAATGAATGCGTGACAAACAAACCCCAAAGGACCTCTGCAGGGAGGCTAGTGTGACGCTGGTATTCATTTCCTTCATCCTATTTTGATTTATCTCACCTACACTGTACATGTTCAATGTGGCTCAGTGCAAGCCGCACCGATAATTCACTTCATTTTATAAATACCAATGAAATACCAGGTGAGCTTTCGCATGAGGACATGATATCTTCACATGTCAAAATAACATGTTATCTTCACAATGAAAAGAGCGCTGTTGCTATGGCTACATAAAAAATTGCACCTTGCGCAGCAAGAAAAAATATGTGAAAGTGAAATGGTTTGGTATTTCATTGGTGTTTGTATAATCAGTAGAACATTACATGACCACTTGGAGATACAAAATTTTTCTTCTTGTGTTAAAAAATATTTTACTCGTTTGCTGCTCTCACCCATGAAATAGTTTTTAACACTCGAAGAGAAATTTTGTATCTCCACGCGGCCATGTAACATCCTTTATACCTTGAATGAGTTTTAAAAATCTTATACATAAATAAACAAAAAATAACAATAAAAATTATGAACTCCAGCTTGAATTTCTTCAAGCATTTTTTATCATTTTATAGGTATATCTCACACTCCAGACAGTGTTTCATCAGATATCCCTGACAACTGGAACTCTTTTGGCTGTGCATCTTTTTTTCTCCTGGTGTCTGGGTACCAAATTTAACACTTTGCATCATCTTTATTACTAACTTGTGATTATTAAATTCATTGAACATCAGCCTGAGTATCAGGCGTTTCTGGAGGAAATAGGGAAGAGAAAAGAGTGAAGAAAAGACAGCGACTTGCTCTCTGTCTTCCCTCCTGCACCCCCTCCCCCACTCTCTAAATTCTCCTTTCCCCTAACCCCTAAGGAAGGCTTTATACTCATGCTAATTGAACACTGATTCTCTACTGGAATATTTACCATGTCAGGTACATCATACCAGATGTAATATATTATCCCCATTTTTATTTGTATTAACAGTGGACCTGGTATAGCAGGATATGGAGAGGAAAATGGAAGTGAATTTGTCGCCTCATCAGGTGAGCACATGAGTTCGTAGTGAAAAGAAGTAAGCTTACTTTATACTTATACTGAAACTATTTGTGGTTGTATTTATCCACGAATGGATGAACAGGAAAATATGGCTACCTTTTTTTTCAAGTTTAGCCATTGTACCCCGAGAGAAAAACTGGTTTTTAGTTGGTTTCCAAAACTGGCCAGAATGCGTTGACTATAAGTTACTCCTGGCTTTACAAAGCAGTTCGTCTAAGACTAATTCTTCCAAAGAAGAGGGGACGTCGATAACGCATGGGTCGTCCACGCACGCATGTATAATCAAGAAGAGGTAATTTTGGCACTTGCTTAACATCCAAAACCATTCTCCCAGTGAGAAATATTATCGAGAGTAACGAGGGACTTCTTGACATACCGGTACATTTATTTGTTTATGTACTATTACATTTTTTATCTTGCCATCCAATAGTTATATTTCCTTTCACTGATTAAACTTTTGCATCAAGAAACTGAATTGCTGTCGTTGCTTTGCAGCCGAGGGAGGGTCGTTGTTGCCAAGGATACCATATGAAGAGGGATTTCATCGTTTTGTTGTGCGAATAGACCGGATCGGTCTAAAAGATGCGCATGTTTACCTAAATCCTTTCATCACTGTCTCTGTTAAAGGTACTGATAAAACATTTCGCGCTTTAGTTAACTGACATTTACAATCATAAATAGAAAGCGCGAACATTACGATATTGTGTGTTGTGTGTAGTGTGCGTTATACTGCGTTTTTCGTTATCGAACGTGTGTAACGAGCATGACTTGCTTGCAAGATTGAACTCAGTTCCTCTACTAGAAAAGGGGCGGGCTTGCATTCTGTAGAGCGTGAAATTGTGTCAGTCAGGAAAACGTTTTCTTCTTTGTCACCGGCCAGAATGTTATCTTCTGAGCATGGAGTGAACCTAAAGCATTAATTCCGTTCACCTGTGAAGGGAAAGCGCCCGTGAAGGAAGCAAACTGAAATAACCAGATCATTTCATTTCTCCACCAACTATTTTTTTTCCTTAACTATCCTGTCCCTGAAAAGAGGCGCTTAATTGAAATATTCACCTTCACTAGACCGTGTCAGAGACAGACTGAGGCTGAGACTGAGACTGTGACTGCGTGAGCATACTTTCTTTTTAGTGGAGTTCACCGCGAGACACGAGAAACGAGGGCGTCTCGTCTCGTCTCAGAAATAAGAGAGAATGCCTGACTTGTTACATGTTTTTTTCATTCCTGCAGACGCTAACAGTGTTAATGTGACCCCGCCCCAAGATACACCCATGTCAAACAGAAAAGATGGAAAATACATCAACTTTGGTTTTGATGTGGAGATTCAAAAACCAATAGAAAAGCTTCCAAGAGATAAAAATGATAATAAGCTGCGACGGAACTATTCAAGGTTAACCTGCGTAGCAGGCGCCGGTTTTGTAAGGGCGAACGGAGAAATTTCGTGGACGCGTGCGCGCACTAGGGAGAACGTAAAACCTAACCACAATACTTAACCAGCGCCTTCTACGCAGGCTAATTCCAGGCTAACGAACGTGTCTTTCTTTCGAGACGTTGAAATGGTAAGAAAATTTTTTTCCTCATAATTAATTTTTTTTTTTGTTTTATCCTGTCTTTCTTTCGAAGGTACAGCGATATTTTTCGAATTCAAGCACTACAAACCCAAAAAAGACATCGTGAGTACGAGATGTTTCGCATTCATGGAACAAGATGAGTTCAAGCCGGGTCCCGCCTGCATAGAACTGTAAGTAGGCAGGCTTTGCTTATAAACGGCGAAGTTTTTGATTTTTTTGTGGGGCCACTGGTTCCGTGTACTACGACTAGCCCCTCATTAGGGCTCACGAAATACGCGAGCGCGCGTGAGATTCGCTGCCCGCGATGACAGGCTACACGTGGTGGAAGGAGAGAAATGAGAGACCTTCATTTTCTCTTCTTCCTCTGTCTCGCCAACGAGTGTCTCTCTTTCCTGTTTTTGCTGTGTCTCCTGTGTCTCGCGGCGATTTTCACCGGCGCTCGCGTACTTTGTGCATCCTATTATCCCTGAGAAAGTCTGTTCCAGAAGTTTAGATTGTGGACAGTGGCGCGAAATCCACCTCTCGCCGCCCCATCTCTGCTAACTTCTCTTTGTGCACTGCACACTGTCTCAATCCCTGGAAAAGGCTGTCTCCGAAGGTAGTCAAGGACCGCTCGTATTTTACTGAATCTGCTAGCTTTCAATTAACAAAGCTAACCGGATTAACCTGTTCTTTTAGGTATCAGAAGCCAACAGACTTTCACCGCAAGAGGTTAAATCTTTTGACGCAAAAACCGCCTTATCTTCATGTGACACTCAACATTCTTGATGATTAGCTCTCAAAACCGTTGCACAGAAAGCGATTAAACATGCCACAGCACTCCAAGGAATCATTTCGGATATTACTGATACTTCTGGTTAGAAAGAACCAAGTAATTCAGCTCTGAAAATGGCTTTTAGACATTATTCTTAAACTTAACATGTAATAGAGCATTACAGTTACACGAAACTGAAAACTATACCTTAGAGATTATTTTACTTTGTAAATACATTACAAAAACGTGAACAATAGCAGACATTTTAAAGAAATTATAGCAGTAGTTTATATTGGGGAAGGGTTAGTAGTTATACGAAGTAGATATTTTTAAAAGAACTTTTTCGGTAGTGGCACCTATAGCTAAGAGTTCATCAAACAATTTTCTTGACTGTTGCTCAAGAGATTACATTTATTATACAGTGGAATCCCCACATTTCCAACCCTCAAAGTAACACAGCACTGGATTAGCTCGGAAAACTAGGGTAAAAGAACAGTGTTTATCTAGGATCGGCAAACAAGTCCATAGAATTTCTACTCAGTTGCCTATAAAGTATAAATTGCTGGTGGGGTAAACTCGTAGGTGACTTAAATAGTGACCTATTGCTTCTTTAAAACGTATAATACGTCTGAGTAGCCTACTTGTTTATTATGCTAAATCTGTAAATAAATGAATGAATGAATAAATAAATAACATGGAAGGGCGTAAAATAACGTTTCCAAACGTCAGAATTCCACTGTATTCCTCACAATTTAAAAAGAGGGGTGTAACACTGATATTAAGGCTCTGCTGATCTACTTTCCACCTAATTACCACAGATTGACATGATTCGATAGTTATAATTATAAAAAGAATAAACGGCTTGACATAGAATTTTTGCAAGTAGGTTTATTTTAACACAGGTGCGTATGCAGTTAGAGAAATGAGCCTGTTAACTGTACGGCTGTGTAGATTACATGAGTTTTATTGGGTAAATTTATTTGCCTTTAAATTATCTTTATAGAGCGTTGTTGGTCACGTGGTCAGCAGCTTTGCAAATTGCTTGGAATAAAAGAAAGATTAACATGTGAAAGCAGTTCAATTCCCATAGAATTTTTTTGGTACACAAACATGGCCGCTGATTCATTGTTTTGTACACAAATATGGCCGCCGTGACGTCATGTGAAAACGATTTACTTAAAGCTGATTAAAGTTTCAGGCATACACTTAAAGTAGTAGAGTAACTTTAAATGAAACTAAGCCGTTATCGTTATCTTCGTTTTTCTTTGATTCCAATGTCTTTTTTTGTAGAGTTTTAAAGTAAAACTGAAAATTCGTCACTTTAATAGCTTATTTAAGGTAGAGGGGTATTCAAATGTTTCTCCAGCCTGCGAACAAGCTATCCATCAGTGGTCGAGTGAAACAAGCCGCGCAAGCGAGCGCGAAGTTCGCTCACGCGTCTCCTCTTTTGTGCCGCTCCCGCATGTACTTTTCAGATAGAGTGATTTTCGTATGACCTTGACCTCGGTACGTGTTCGTTATTTGTTTTGTCAGCCAATGGATGAAAAGACCAGAACATGGCTTCTTCGTTTTCCCGCCAAAGAAACCATAATATGGAGAGGGCATAGCTCGATTGGCCAATCGTGTTGCAGTATGACGTCAAAGCGAAGTATCGGTTGATTTCTAGAAAGTTCTCGGGAATGAAGTATTTTCACCCACGCGCGTTTGTATCCGTTCGATAAACCAATCAAATCGCTCTTTCCACTCGTTTGCTGTTTCTGTTTTGTTCCCGCGTTCTTATTTCAAGGTCATCCGAAAATTGCTTTAATAAGTTACATTGTTTTCCTTTCATCTGTGTATGTTTAATTCGTCTTTTCTCCCAATGGATTCCACGAACTCGAATGTTCATTTTCGTCTCGATGTTTTACTCCATCCCAGACTCTTCTCTTTTGTAATAAACGCCGCTGACACGTGCAAATATGCTACAAAGGAAACACGTGCGTTTTGCACAATGAACGATCATGTCGAACGTTCAGTTTTAAGGTCAATCAAAACAAAAAAAGGGCGGATTAAGAGCCTTTTTTTCCAGGCAAGAAAGTTTTTAACTCATATCCCAGTTACATGTAAGTCATTGCGCATTTAAAAAATTCATTAAAGATAAATTTTCATTCTCGTTCGACATACTCACTGTTTTCGGTTTTGAATTTTTTTTCAAGTCTAAGTTTTCTTTAGTCACAACTGTACTGTCAAAAAGGGAATTTAGTATCAAAAATCACAACGGTATTACTGCGTGGCAAATCGGCTGTGTTTTATCAATAGCGGGACTGAAATAAAAGTAACAAACTGAAGATGACGTATAAACGTAGCAATGTTTTAACACTTAAAAGCTTTTTACTTTTTCTTTTGAAATAGATGCTCCCAACATTATAAGCTGTGCTCCTAAAATTTTCAGCTGTGCACCTAAAATTTCGGCAGTGCGCCCAAAAATTTACATCTAGTAGCACAAGTGCTTCCAAACTCAAATTTAAACTTTAAGCCCTGTTGGCGGAATCCGGAATCCCAGAAAATTTTTACTTATGGAATCCGGAGTCCTGAACGTTTTGTTGTGCGAATAGACCGGATCGGTCTAAAAGATGCGCATGTTTACCTAAATCCTTTCATCACTGTCTCTGTTAAAGGTACTGATAAAACATTTCGCGCTTTAGTTAACTGACATTTACAATCATAAATAGAAAGCGCGAACATTACGATATTGTGTGTTGTGTGTAGTGTGCGTTATACTGCGTTTTTCGTTATCGAACGTGTGTAACGAGCATGACTTGCTTGCAAGATTGAACTCAGTTCCTCTACTAGAAAAGGGGCGGGCTTGCATTCTGTAGAGCGTGAAATTGTGTCAGTCAGGAAAACGTTTTCTTCTTTGTCACCAGCCAGAATGTTATCTTCTGAGCATGGAGTGAACCTAAAGCATTAATTCCGTTCACCTGTGAAGGGAAAGCGCCCGTGAAGGAAGCAAACTGAAATAACCAGATCATTTCATTTCTCCACCAACTATTTTTTTTCCTTAACTATCCTGTCCCTGAAAAGAGGCGCTTAATTGAAATATTCACCTTCACTAGACCGTGTCAGAGACAGACTGAGGCTGAGACTGAGACTGTGACTGCGTGAGCATACTTTCTTTTTAGTGGAGTTCACCGCGAGACACGAGAAACGAGGGCGTCTCGTCTCGTCTCAGAAATAAGAGAGAATGCCTGACTTGTTACATGTTTTTTTCATTCCTGCAGACGCTAACAGTGTTAATGTGACCCCGCCCCAAGATACACCCATGTCAAACAGAAAAGATGGAAAATACATCAACTTTGGTTTTGATGTGGAGATTCAAAAACCAATAGAAAAGCTTCCAAGAGATAAAAATGATAATAAGCTGCGACGGAACTATTCAAGGTTAACCTGCGTAGCAGGCGCCGGTTTTGTAAGGGCGAACGGAGAAATTTCGTGGACGCATGCGCGCACTAGGGAGAACGTAAAACCTAACCACAATACTTAACCAGCGCCTTCTACGCAGGCTAATTCCAGGCTAACGAACGTGTCTTTCTTTCGAGACGTTGAAATGGTAAGAAAATTTTTTTCCTCATAATTAATTTTTTTTTTTGTTTTATCCTGTCTTTCTTTCGAAGGTACAGCGATATTTTTCGAATTCAAGCACTACAAACCCAAAAAAGACATCGTGAGTACGAGATGTTTCGCATTCATGGAACAAGATGAGTTCAAGCCGGGTCCCGCCTGCATAGAACTGTAAGTAGGCAGGCTTTGCTTATAAACGGCGAAGTTTTTGATTTTTTTGTGGGGCCACTGGTTCCGTGTACTACGACTAGCCCCTCATTAGGGCTCACGAAATACGCGAGCGCGCGTGAGATTCGCTGCCCGCGATGACAGGCTACACGTGGTGGAAGGAGAGAAATGAGAGACCTTCATTTTCTCTTCTTCCTCTGTCTCGCCAACGAGTGTCTCTCTTTCCTGTTTTTGCTGTGTCTCCTGTGTCTCGCGGCGATTTTCACCGGCGCTCGCGTACTTTGTGCATCCTATTATCCCTGAGAAAGTCTGTTCCAGAAGTTTAGATTGTGGACAGTGGCGCGAAATCCACCTCTCGCCGCCCCATCTCTGCTAACTTCTCTTTGTGCACTGCACACTGTCTCAATCCCTGGAAAAGGCTGTCTCCGAAGGTAGTCAAGGACCGCTCGTATTTTACTGAATCTGCTAGCTTTCAATTAACAAAGCTAACCGGATTAACCTGTTCTTTTAGGTATCAGAAGCCAACAGACTTTCACCGCAAGAGGTTAAATCTTTTGACGCAAAAACCGCCTTATCTTCATGTGACACTCAACATTCTTGATGATTAGCTCTCAAAACCGTTGCACAGAAAGCGATTAAACATGCCACAGCACTCCAAGGAATCATTTCGGATATTACTGATACTTCTGGTTAGAAAGAACCAAGTAATTCAGCTCTGAAAATGGCTTTTAGACATTATTCTTAAACTTAACATGTAATAGAGCATTACAGTTACACGAAACTGAAAACTATACCTTAGAGATTATTTTACTTTGTAAATACATTACAAAAACGTGAACAATAGCAGACATTTTAAAGAAATTATAGCAGTAGTTTATATTGGGGAAGGGTTAGTAGTTATACGAAGTAGATATTTTTAAAAGAACTTTTTCGGTAGTGGCACCTATAGCTAAGAGTTCATCAAACAATTTTCTTGACTGTTGCTCAAGAGATTACATTTATTATACAGTGGAATCCCCACATTTCCAACCCTCAAAGTAACACAGCACTGGATTAGCTCGGAAAACTAGGGTAAAAGAACAGTGTTTATCTAGGATCGGCAAACAAGTCCATAGAATTTCTACTCAGTTGCCTATAAAGTATAAATTGCTGGTGGGGTAAACTCGTAGGTGACTTAAATAGTGACCTATTGCTTCTTTAAAACGTATAATACGTCTGAGTAGCCTACTTGTTTATTATGCTAAATCTGTAAATAAATGAATGAATGAATAAATAAATAACATGGAAGGGCGTAAAATAACGTTTCCAAACGTCAGAATTCCACTGTATTCCTCACAATTTAAAAAGAGGGGTGTAACACTGATATTAAGGCTCTGCTGATCTACTTTCCACCTAATTACCACAGATTGACATGATTCGATAGTTATAATTATAAAAAGAATAAACGGCTTGACATAGAATTTTTGCAAGTAGGTTTATTTTAACACAGGTGCGTATGCAGTTAGAGAAATGAGCCTGTTAACTGTACGGCTGTGTAGATTACATGAGTTTTATTGGGTAAATTTATTTGCCTTTAAATTATCTTTATAGAGCGTTGTTGGTCACGTGGTCAGCAGCTTTGCAAATTGCTTGGAATAAAAGAAAGATTAACATGTGAAAGCAGTTCAATTCCCATAGAATTTTTTTGGTACACAAACATGGCCGCTGATTCATTGTTTTGTACACAAATATGGCCGCCGTGACGTCATGTGAAAACGATTTACTTAAAGCTGATTAAAGTTTCAGGCATACACTTAAAGTAGTAGAGTAACTTTAAATGAAACTAAGCCGTTATCGTTATCTTCGTTTTTCTTTGATTCCAATGTCTTTTTTTGTAGAGTTTTAAAGTAAAACTGAAAATTCGTCACTTTAATAGCTTATTTAAGGTAGAGGGGTATTCAAATGTTTCTCCAGCCTGCGAACAAGCTATCCATCAGTGGTCGAGTGAAACAAGCCGCGCAAGCGAGCGCGAAGTTCGCTCACGCGTCTCCTCTTTTGTGCCGCTCCCGCATGTACTTTTCAGATAGAGTGATTTTCGTATGACCTTGACCTCGGTACGTGTTCGTTATTTGTTTTGTCAGCCAATGGATGAAAAGACCAGAACATGGCTTCTTCGTTTTCCCGCCAAAGAAACCATAATATGGAGAGGGCATAGCTCGATTGGCCAATCGTGTTGCAGTATGACGTCAAAGCGAAGTATCGGTTGATTTCTAGAAAGTTCTCGGGAATGAAGTATTTTCACCCACGCGCGTTTGTATCCGTTCGATAAACCAATCAAATCGCTCTTTCCACTCGTTTGCTGTTTCTGTTTTGTTCCCGCGTTCTTATTTCAAGGTCATCCGAAAATTGCTTTAATAAGTTACATTGTTTTCCTTTCATCTGTGTATGTTTAATTCGTCTTTTCTCCCAATGGATTCCACGAACTCGAATGTTCATTTTCGTCTCGATGTTTTACTCCATCCCAGACTCTTCTCTTTTGTAATAAACGCCGCTGACACGTGCAAATATGCTACAAAGGAAACACGTGCGTTTTGCACAATGAACGATCATGTCGAACGTTCAGTTTTAAGGTCAATCAAAACAAAAAAAGGGCGGATTAAGAGCCTTTTTTTCCAGGCAAGAAAGTTTTTAACTCATATCCCAGTTACATGTAAGTCATTGCGCATTTAAAAAATTCATTAAAGATAAATTTTCATTCTCGTTCGACATACTCACTGTTTTCGGTTTTGAATTTTTTTTCAAGTCTAAGTTTTCTTTAGTCACAACTGTACTGTCAAAAAGGGAATTTAGTATCAAAAATCACAACGGTATTACTGCGTGGCAAATCGGCTGTGTTTTATCAATAGCGGGACTGAAATAAAAGTAACAAACTGAAGATGACGTATAAACGTAGCAATGTTTTAACACTTAAAAGCTTTTTACTTTTTCTTTTGAAATAGATGCTCCCAACATTATAAGCTGTGCTCCTAAAATTTTCAGCTGTGCACCTAAAATTTCGGCAGTGCGCCCAAAAATTTACATCTAGTAGCACAAGTGCTTCCAAACTCAAATTTAAACTTTAAGCCCTGTTGGCGGAATCCGGAATCCCAGAAAATTTTTACTTATGGAATCCGGAGTCCTGATTTTTGAAATCCGGAATACAGATCAAGGAATCTGGAATCCCAATAACGATCGGAATCCAGAATTCTACAGTTTTACAGAAAAATACTGGAATCCAGTACCTGGAATCTGGAATCCACAGCGTGGAATCCAGAATCCAAGACTGTGCCGGATTATTCCCTTACATGAGGTGAAGGATGAGTATCTATAATTATATACATACTCAGATATACTCACTGAAAAGCTATGACGTAAATTTTCTTATTACATAAATCTTTGAGCCCCAGGTTTTACGGTCTACTAACTATTTTTCAATGTCTATTTTAAGGGGCGGTGTCACTTTTGCGGAGGTCATTTTGTTTATCGATGCCAGTTTAGCCTGGGACCAGGGTCCGCAGTGGGGAAAAAGGAGAAAAAAATCAGCGAGCGAAGCGAGCCGAGAGGTAGTCTGAGGAGAGGAAAATGTGGCGCCGCCCTTTCCCCCTCCCCAGGTCACCCCTCAGCTTGCTTCCTTCGCCGCGTTTTCCTATTTGACCCCGTTTTTTGCCTTTTTCCCCCACTGCGGAGCCTGGTCCCGGGCTAATGACAGTTACGCTATTACGCACTTTCTATTACGCTTTGTTCTTTTCACTTCTCTAAACTTTCGCTGGACGTCTTGAGTGATCTTGACTTGCCTGTAGCTATCAGCGGTTTTTGCATGTTCTTCCCCAAACAGTTTAAGACGGATAGCTAATGCCCGCTGGTGAGATTGTAGAGCTGCACTGTAGTCATGCATGTTGTATTGTGTTATACCGAGTTCCCTGTAGCTGTCAGCAGTGCTTTCATGTTCCTCTCCAAATAGTTTAATACGGATAGCTAGTACATGCTGCTCAGATTGTAGAGCTGTGTTGTAGTCATGCATGTTGTGTTGTATTACACCAAGTTGCTTGTAGCTGTCAGCAGTGCTTTCATGTTCCTCTCCAAATAGTTTAATACGGATAGCTAGTACATGCTGCTCAGATTGTAGAGCTGCGTTGTAGTCATGCATGTTGTGTTGTATTACACCGAGTTGCCTGTAGCTGTCAGCAGTGCTTTCATGTTCCTCTCCAAATAGTTTAATACGGATAGCTAATGCCCGCTGGTGAGATTGTAGAGCTGCGCTGTAGTCATGCATGTTGTATTGTGTTACACCGAGTTGCCTGTAGCTGTCAGCAGTGCTTTCATGTTCCTCTCCAAACAGCTTACGGTGGATATCTAATGCACGCTGCTCAGATTGTAGAGCTGCGCTGTAGTCATGCATGTTGAATTGTGTTACACCGAGTCGCCTGTAGCTTTCAGCAGTGCTTTCATGTTCCTCTCCAAATAGTTTAACACGGATAGCTAATTCATGTTCGAGTGATTTTAGAGCTGCGTTGTAGTCATGCATGTTGAATTGTGTTACACCGAGTTGCCTGTAGCTGTCAGCAGTGCTTTCATGTTCTTCTCCAAATAGTTTAACACGGACAGCCAATGCTCGCTGGTGAGATTGTAGAGCTGCGCTGTAATCATGCATTTGGTTTTGTATTACACCGAGTTGCCTGTAGCTGTCAGCAGTGCTTTCATGTTCTTCTCCAAATAGTTTAACACGGACAGCCAATGCTCGCTGGTGAGATTGTAGAGCTGCGCTGTAATCATGCATTTGGTTTTGTATTACACCGAGTTGCCTGTAGCTGTCAGCAGTGCTTTCATGTTCTTCTCCAAATAGTTTAACACGGATAGCTAATTCATGTTCGAGTGATTTTAGAGCTGCGTTGTAGTCATGCATGTTGAATTGTGTTACACCGAGTTGCCTGTAGCTGTCAGCAGTGCTTTCATGTTCTTCTCCAAATAGTTTAACACGGACAGCCAATGCTCGCTGGTGAGATTGTAGAGCTGCGCTGTAATCATGCATTTGGTTTTGTATTACACCGAGTTGCCTGTAGCTGTCAGCAGTGCTTTCATGTTCTTCTCCAAATAGTTTAACACGGATAGCTAATTCATGTTCGAGTGATTTTAGAGCTGCGTTGTAGTCATGCATGTTGAATTGTGTTACACCGAGTTGCCTGTAGCTGTCAGCAGTGCTTTCATGTTCTTCTCCAAATAGTTTAACACGGACAGCCAATGCTCGCTGGTGAGATTGTAGAGCTGCGCTGTAATCATGCATTTGGTTTTGTATTACACCGAGTTGCCTGTAGCTGTCAGCAGTGCTTTCATGTTCTTCTCCAAATAGTTTAACACGGATAGCTAATTCATGTTCGAGTGATTTTAGAGCTGCGTTGTAGTCATGCATGTTGAATTGTGTTACACCGAGTTGCCTGTAGCTGTCAGCAGTGCTTTCATGTTCTTCTCCAAATAGTTTAACACGGACAGCCAATGCTCGCTGGTGAGATTGTAGAGCTGCGCTGTAATCATGCATTTGGTTTTGTATTACACCGAGTTGCCTGTAGCTGTCAGCAGTGCTTTCATGTTCTTCTCCAAATAGTTTAACACGGATAGCTAATTCATGTTCGAGTGATTTTAGAGCTGCGTTGTAGTCATGCATGTTGAATTGTGTTACACCGAGTTGCCTGTAGCTGTCAGCAGTGCTTTCATGTTCTTCTCCAAATAGTTTAACACGGACAGCCAATGCTCGCTGGTGAGATTGTAGAGCTGCGCTGTAATCATGCATTTGGTTTTGTATTACACCGAGTTGCCTGTAGCTGTCAGCAGTGCTTTCATGTTCTTCTCCAAATAGTTTAACACGGATAGCTAATTCATGTTCGAGTGATTTTAGAGCTGCGTTGTAGTCATGCATGTTGAATTGTGTTACACCGAGTTGCCTGTAGCTGTCAGCAGTGCTTTCATGTTCTTCTCCAAATAGTTTAACACGGACAGCCAATGCTCGCTGGTGAGATTGTAGAGCTGCGCTGTAATCATGCATTTGGTTTTGTATTACACCGAGTTGCCTGTAGCTGTCAGCAGTGCTTTCATGTTCTTCTCCAAATAGTTTAACACGGATAGCTAATTCATGTTCGAGTGATTTTAGAGCTGCGTTGTAGTCATGCATGTTGAATTGTGTTACACCGAGTTGCCTGTAGCTGTCAGCAGTGCTTTCATGTTCTTCTCCAAATAGTTTAACACGGACAGCCAATGCTCGCTGGTGAGATTGTAGAGCTGCGCTGTAATCATGCATTTGGTTTTGTATTACACCGAGTTGCCTGTAGCTGTCAGCAGTGCTTTCATGTTCTTCTCCAAATAGTTTAACACGGATAGCTAATTCATGTTCGAGTGATTTTAGAGCTGCGTTGTAGTCATGCATGTTGAATTGTGTTACACCGAGTTGCCTGTAGCTGTCAGCAGTGCTTTCATGTTCTTCTCCAAATAGTTTAACACGGACAGCCAATGCTCGCTGGTGAGATTGTAGAGCTGCGCTGTAATCATGCATTTGGTTTTGTATTACACCGAGTTGCCTGTAGCTGTCAGCAGTGCTTTCATGTTCTTCTCCAAATAGTTTAACACGGATAGCTAATTCATGTTCGAGTGATTTTAGAGCTGCGTTGTAGTCATGCATGTTGAATTGTGTGATACCGAGTTGCCTGTAGCTTTCAGCAATGCTTTTATGTTTCTCTCCAAATAGTTCAATACCGATAGCTAGTGCATGCTGGTGAGATAGTAGAGCTGCGCTATAGTCATGCATTTTGTTTTGTGTTACACCGAGTTGCCTGTAGCTGTCAGCAGTGCTTTCATGTTCCTTTCCAAATAGTTTAATACGGATAGCTAGTGCATGCTGGTGAGATCGTAGAGCTGCGCTGTAGTTATGCATGTTGTAATGTATTACACCGAGTTGCCTGTAGCTGTCAGCAGTGCTTTCATGTTCCTCTCCAAATAGTTTAGTACGAATGTCTAATGCATGCTGGTGAGATTGTAGAGCTGCGCTGCAGTCATGCATGTTGTTTTGTGTTACACCGAGTTGCCTGTAGCTGTCAGCAGTCCTTTTATGTTCTTTTTCAAAGGAACTTGTTGCTGTGTTTAGCGCTCGCTTGCATGACTGAAGAGCTTCGGAATATATTCCTCTGTTGTTGTAAACTATACCCAGGTTTAAGTAGCAGTCCACAAGCGCTTTAATTTGTATTTGACCATAACCGCCAAAGTCGTGACTTGTGGGGAAAGTTTCTTGGCTTTGCTTGAGTTTTTTTTCATGATAATTTATTCTTGACCTAAATAGTTTTTCAGGGTCTTCACTATTCAAATTCCAGAGCAGCTCTACCACAGCTGTGTGAAAAGTTAGCAAACCAGTTGAAGGTGTAACGTCTTTTTCGACACACTCTAACATTTGAAGAACCAAGTGGTTTGTATTTTGTTTGATTTTAGTGTCAGCGAAAAACTCTGTAGCTTCACTTAAGAGACAGACAAATTGGAATTCGAAAGGTTGATTCAGCAAAATGTTTGAGTCCTTTTCAAAATGCATTTTATTGGTAGTTTTTTGTGCTTTGCTTTTCATCGGCGGAATAATAAGCAGCTTGCAATCTCCTACTGCAGAGGACAGATGTAGTGATTTGTCATAGCAGTAGCTTGCATTGTAGAAGTCATTTAGGGACTGATAATAACAGACGAGGATCTGAAGAATAAGAAACTTTAGAAATAACGACTCTTGGTTGTTGCAAGTCTCCAGTGATGAAAGCGCCTCCTGTAGGCAGTGGACTCCACTCTTCGTTTCTTCTGCAGTAAGGTAACAGATTCCTGAATAGCACAAGCATTTGCCTTTTTCCTGATTAGAAACAAGGCACGATGCTGCTTGCAGAACTTTCACTTCAGAGAGAAGCTGATTCGTCTTTCCTTTTTTTCCCCAGGTTGCTTTAGCGAAAGCTTTGGAAATAAGTAGTTGCCTGTGGTATTTTTCAGTTCCATGCAGGTTGGCTGCTTTTATGGCGGCATCGTATATGTCATCAAAGTTTTTCCCTTCACTTTCGGTCCAAAACAGCGAGTCAAGAAACAACTCTCCTTTGACCAATATGTCAAAGACAGTGTCAGCTGTTTTGGAGTCAAGACATCCCTCTACTAGGCTTTCAATAATGCTCTCCTTATCTTCATAAAATGCAATATATGCATCCATGGAATGCCCGGTTAGAAATTCTTTATTTAGTTTATCAAAGTACGAGACATAGAATGCATTCAAACGACCCTTTGCGTTGAGAATCGCCTCTTTCATGTCAGTGTCTCCTTTCTCTCTCGAAGATGATTGCAATAGTTTGTGCATTGTGAAAGTCCTTGGTTTAGAGCCTGAATCAATCAGTGACTTCCTCCGAAGGTTTTGTAACATCGTTATGGCTTCAAAACCACTTTTGGTGCCTAAAACGGCCGCAGCGACCTCAGTAGTAAAGTTCTCAGGGAGAATGCTAAAAGAAATTAGTGCTTCTTGTTCTAGTGCAGTAAGTCTCTGGAAATAGGAGTCAAAAATGTCCAACATGCTCCCTATACTTTCTGTAGAGAACACCTTGAAATCATCTATAATTTGGCTTGGTAAAGAATTATCTTCAGAAATCAAAGAACACATTAATTTTATGGCCAAAGGAACATGTCCGCAGATATGCGCGACTTCTGTGCAATCCGCAGCGCTTGCAATTGGAAGTAACTCATGAATTAGAGATTGTGTAGAGGCTTTATCCAATGTTCTTATTCTCACGCCTTGATGGCCTTGAAAATGGTTGTTCATAAACTCAAGAGACTCTCTCGTGGTTACAATGAATGTCACCCTTGGGTTTTGCCTAAGTATTTCTTCAAGAAGTTGCATGACCTCTTTCTTCACTTTTTGGCAACCACTTTCTAACAAATCATCGGCATTATCAAGAATAAATACAGACTGTTTTGATATTTCGCTGAATAGCTGAGAAATTTCATCGTCAGGGGACAGACGCTGATCGGACGGTTGATTATTGATGGTTGGTTGCCTTAAAAGGCGAAGAAACTTTGAAGTCAGATCTGCTTTTGACTGAAGTCCCCGTAATGAGACCCAATAGACGGTTAGCCCTTGAGACTGGAGCGCGTGTCCCACTGCAATTGTAACTGATGTTTTTCCGAATCCAGGTGAACCCCAGATCGACACCAGTCGGGTAGATTCGGAAGTTACGTGTCCGATGATCTCTTCGACCTCGCTCTGTCGCCCAGTGAAATTAGGAACCATTGAGGGAAGAGGGGCTCTTATTGGCTTTATGTCTAGCATACATGGTGAAAGAAGGAAAGTTAAAATAATGAGGTATCATACGCAAAAATATATATAGTTGAACTTTATTAAAAGGGGTTGTCACTTTAACAAGTAATAAAAGATAGAAATTAAATTCTTTCAGTCAATAAACTCTGTTAATTTACCCATACAAAAACTGATGCTCCAGGAATCTGGAGGCCGTTAAAAAAAGGTTATAGCCAAAGGCCGTTTCTCTATAGAAAAAGATGTTTTCCCTTTTCACACATAAAAAAGCTCTGATCAAAGTTTAACTCTCCATGACTTAGATTATTTACTGTTTCTTAACAACCTGAATGCTGCTAAGTATACATTGGTCATTCGCCCTTTCCAATCGTTTTCGCGTTTTCTTACTGTTAGGAGAGGGAAAGACGAGAGAATCTAAGAACAAGGTAGTCTGAAACTTCTTCGAGTGGTTATTATAATTTACAAAATGTTATTGGATCGATTCGAATGTTCCGGTTGGAAAGTAAATGGTACACGACCTTTCTGGTCCCGTTTTCCCGGTCATAAGTTCCAAGGAGCCTTCGTCGCAAACGCCTAAATATGATAAACCGCAGTTGGTAAAGTCTGCGAAGCAGCGTCCCCAAGATCCTTGTTCTGGGCCCTCAACGAATTCAACGAGTTACCGGAAATGCGTTACATTCCTTTCATATTGATTGGCAAATCGACAATAGGGCCGTTTATACTAGAGAAAATAAGCAGCTGTTTACTCTGGCCGCGGCTTATATAAGACGCCAACACCCCATATAAACGGTACAAAATCTACGTTCACGGCTTATTCAACCCACGGCCAGTTCAAGCCGCGGCTTATCCCGGCCGAGGAGTTTTGGGCTAGACTTACCGCAGACGAGAACGTACTCGTATAAATCGACTGAAACGTTGTCCGCTGTTTGCTGCAGCCATGAACGATTGCTGCGCATGCTCTGTTTTCAATTATATTCCAGAGCTTCACGGCCGAGAGACACACGCTGCAGTGGCGGGAAAATAACCTGCTCCACGAGAGAGCCAGAAATTTCGTCTTAACTCTACCTTATCATTCGCTGGAATATCTCTTTCAAACCACTCGATTGATCGCTGACAAATTTTTCGTGGAGGTTTCCACACAAGTTTCGCAACAGCCCGGCACTTATCTTATCGGAAATGTTAATTTGAAACGAAAAAGACCGAGTAAAATATGGCGATTTTCCTGACCAATTTTGCTCGCTCGAGCCATTGCTGCAAATTACACGAGGCACCAAAACAATCTACGTCATCATTGGACCGGTTTGGCCGAGTACTAAGCCGTGAACCATTTATAAGAGTAGTTTGCGTCTTATGTAAGCTGTACTCGTATAAATGGTTCCCTTCGCGTCTTATGTAAGCCGCGGATTATTTTCTCTGGTATAAACGGCCCTAACAGAACAATCACATGACTTTTGGAGGGCATATAGTTTATTTGTGATTGTTTGACATGAAAGCATATTGCGGGCTGCAAATTCCATTGACAACCTGCAATTTGCTGTTTGGCCCGTGAAAAGGAGCGTTTTAGAGAGGACAGTTTATCATTTGGCCTAGTGTAGTGATAATAATGGCTTTTTAAACAGGCCATTCGTGGCTCGTACTCAAATCTGGGAGCAAAGGTGGGGGACCTGAAAAAGGATTTCGGCGCTGATTCGCAGACGGACTTAACCAGAGTTTAGTTTCGTCTGTGGCGCAGGCTAGTTCAAAGCGGAAAATATTTGATATCAGTTGCATACACAGGCTTTCGTGGATATTTCTCGTTAAATGGGGATGAGTTATTGTATAATTGTATATATATGTGAGTCCGAACTGAATTTACCGATCTTGAAATTTGCACGACATTTAATTTGCCCAAACCGATACTGACCGGTTTCTGAGACTGGTCCAAAATTTTCAGTGTTTCAAGTTTCGAGTATAGGCGATTATTCAATCTTTATTATATGAATGAAGATCATCGCAGTTATATACGCAGTTTTTGCAGTTGCGCAAAGAAAGCCTGGAAAAAAATTCAGGCTCGTACGGGATTCGAACCCTCTTCGATACCGATGCAGCGCTCTACCAATTAAGCTAACAAGCCAACTGGGAGCAGGTGGTTGAATTGTTTCGTTATAAACCCGTGAAAGGATGACGATGAAGTTATGAATACATGAAAATCATATATGTGAACTGCGGAGTGAAGAATTATATGAAGGAAGATCATCGCAGTTATATACGCAACTTTTGCAGTTGCGAAAAGAAAGCCTGAAAAAAAAATCTATCTTTATTTATTCAATCTTTCTTACCTGAATTGTTAGGTTGATAATAACGTTCGTTTTGTACTACTTTTAACTCCTCGATCTTTTTTTCCAACCTAGTGATGTCTTCTTTGCTAGCAGTATTCACTTCGACTTTTTCCTTTAAAACATCGATGTCTGCACTCACACTCTCTAAACCTTCTTGTGCTTTTAACATGGCGATGTTGTGTTTTGTAGCAGTGTTGTCTGCCGCTTGTTTCATGGCCGATGACATGTTTCTTAAATCGCTAATATGTGAACTTACACTCTCAAGAATCATGGTGTACTGTTGCGTGTTCGTTGCATCACGTTGATCTTGTGCTTCTCTTAATGCGTTTATCTTTTGTTCTAACATTAAAACGATATTTGCAGTATCTTCTTCTTTTGTCTGCTTTATGGAATTTAATAAAGCTTTTAGCTCACTGACGTCTGAGCTCACTTCCTCAAGACATTTGATGTACGCTCGCGTCTCGTCTCGGATTCTTGCTTCCAATTTACGAACTTTATTTGTGGGAAAGTCTGACTCCGTCAAACTACCAAGTGCGTCAATTGAGGCTGTCGGGACACCAAGGGCTTGAAACGCGTCTCTGGCATAATTCACCCGCTGGTCGAACGTGGCTTTGTCCATCTCAGAACTGGTAGAGTGACAGAGCGAATTTCTAAGAAGACGAAGCTGATCAATCGCAAGCGCAAAGGTCTCCACCATGTTTCCACCGGGGCTGACCACACATGCGTGATAACTACCATAAGGTACTGCACGGGGCTTCACATACAAATCACTTAGTGTGGTGAAGGGGCCTGTACTGGCTGGTTGGGCAAAGGAACGCGCAAATATAGTAGCCTGGAACAGGTTGGTACAATCCCATTCGTTGTAGGACTGAAGAACAGGAACTTTAGTCTTCTTGCCACTTTTTGCTTCTTCAGAGTCAAACATTTTTCTGACAGTAGTGGAATCATCCCAGAGCTGGAAACCAGGGCGATGTCCATAGGTGTTGTCCCACATGGTTTTAAAGGTCTGCCGTAAGGCTTTGGGGAATTCATTTAACACTAAGGACGAGAACTTAAAGAAATTTAATTGTTCGTCACTAAACGGCTGCAGTGCTGTCATCTTTACTTTGAAAACGCAGTAGGTGAAGGAACTAAAATTGATGAAAGAAAGAAATTATCAACAATTAAACTCAACTCTCCTTCATTCCCAAAAATTGCGTTTTTCTTCAGTGTATTTCGCGATCGCATGCTTTTCGGCGACCCTAAACGAGTTGGGACGACACAACCAAAAAGCCTTAATATAACATTGTCCTGCTATCAGAGGGAGAAAATTGTCTACGAGAAGAGTAACTGACAGACAAACAGAAAGCCGGTTTAAATCATATATATTGACTTTCAGTGGGGGCCTGGTGGGGTACTTTATAATTAGGAAGTTTTGTGGGGGATATGTAGCTGGTCCCCTGAAACCTTAGCCTATACTAGACCTGGTACCCTGTTTCACTATATTTCCCATCTATGGACGCTTTGTTTCCTATCAAACTGACTCGCGGCTAAATTTGTATTTGCCAATCTTATTTTTCAGTTAATTGTCAATTCCCGGTTTCCCTAGTCTAAACTAAAATCTTCGATTAGCCTTGGCAGCTGGTGGAATCGCCACGTCAGCGCGCATTGAGGCAGGGAGTTGCGAATTCACGCTCGAGAGAATGGCGGCTTCGTTGCCAAAACCTCACTCGCATGCTAATCCTTAATCAATCGATCAGTTTTCTCGAAAATGATACCCTATTCTAGACACACACTTTCTGATTCCTACATCCTATCCCAGACTATACTGCTTGAAAACCATACTCTTCACAGCGGCACATTCCTATATACCCCATTTATGAAAATAGCTACCGTGAACAGTTGGATGCGTTATGCTTAATTTATTCATGTAAATTTATCTAGACGTTTCATTTAATTAAGGCGCAAACTACTACTCAGCAGTTGTTCTTTTTGGTGCATGATAGTAAAAACGTTTCCACTAGTTTCTTCCTCGTCTCAGTCTCCCAGAAAAGGACTTTTATAAACAAAGTTACGGGTAAAAGTCAAAGAAACCGGCACAATGCGTGATTTAATTCATGATAAATCAAAGGGAAGAAGGAGCAGGAATTTCTATTTAAATCAGTTATGCAATAGGACTTCCTAAGTTACATTAGGGCTACAAGTATAATCTTAAACGTTTGTCGTATTTGGAGATTCACTATGTATAGGGCTGCGAATATGTCACTGCTGACTCATTACAGAAGCTGATGGCGCTTTTATAATCAAACCCTATCGAAATGAGGTGCATAAACAGAAGTTATTTCCTTATACATTTGGCATGCATGAATTAACTCTCCTGCACACAAAAACGAACTAAAAAGTCCCTTCACACGATGACCACGTTTGCTCCAATCAAATCGATGTTGAACCGCTTAATGTAATTTGTGTTTGAGATATCGCAATTGTTGTCCTATTCAAGTTTTGCTTCGTTGATAAAAACTGCCGAAACTACAGCTTTACATTTTTCCGCATGCCTTGGCACTGCGCAAAACTTGTATCTACTGAGTTGATAATGTGAGCCTGAACTAAGACTTTCAAGGCTTTCCATCCGTAGCTTATTATCCGCGCTATGTAACTGCATTTTGTGCACAGGTGGCTAGGAAATTGTCTCAACATGTATCAAAGCATCATTATTCTGTTATTAGAATTCATAATTTCAACAAAGTTTACCTTTAAGACATCAACTCTTCGTTAGATGCTCCCCGTCTTAGGCCTCAGCCTCAAGGTTGTCAAATTCTTTAACCGAGTAGCAATAACAAACGGTACACAATCACAAACGCCGATATTTCTGTACCATGTTTGCGAACAGCGCCCAAAGAATGCGCAAGATTTGTTAGACAAGGGCGGAAAATTCAGCTAACCCCAATGACGTCAGAGACCGCAGAGGCAATTTGGGCCCTATTGTATAGTGTATTGCGATCAGTGAAGGTGAACAGCAGAAGTGGACTAGACCAGGAGCTCATGGGTTCCTAACCGTGACGCATAGACGGGTATTCTGAATTTGCTCCTAGAAGGGGGCTTTCCCAGTGGATGACAACAAGGACCCAAGAAGAGTAGAGACAGTAGACGAGGCCAGAGCAAGTGAGACATTTCAGGACTGCAACAATTATTGAACGAACGTTGAAAGTACTCTATATACTGTAAACTACCGATTATAAGCCCTGGGCTATAGCTTATGCAACTTCGTAAGGGGTTTTCGGAGGGCTTTTTAAAAATGCAGTGGCTTATGTCCTTGGGAGCTTATAACCGCCAGACACATCAGAATAATAGGAAAAAGCGCTTTGAGCTATATGAGGCATGTATTAAGGGATGCTGAGCAAAATTAGTTTTACTGGTTTTTTATTAAGTCTCAAAACGTCGTAATAAATCGAATTTATTTCAAAAAAATTGAAACAGAGTTAACAACACGAAACGTATCAAACTATGGAAGTTTGACTCAGTGATTACAGCATGAGTAAAGTAAGGCAGTACTACAGTCGGGAGCTGTATTTCACAATAAGCTTTAGTTATATCAAGAGTTGATAATTAAAAAGAACTAGTAAACTTATTGTTCCGAAATCACGTCACAAATTTTCTTTTTGAAGTAGTACAGAGTTCTTGAAAAGTGGTTATGAATTTCTCTTGGAATAAAAAACGGGGGGCTTACATCTGGAATGGGCTGATAATTGGGTGTAATTTTTTGTAGTAGATTTGGACGAAAACTGGGGGAAGCTTATAAGCAGCAGTTTATGGTCTGGAGTAACGAGTTGCAGCAACATTATAATCAAGAATGCAGAAATTAAATTTAAACACAGACAGGAGCCAATCGGCTCCTGACACAGAACAACAAAAATAAATTTTAAGAGGACAGACGGCAAATTGCTGTTGCTCGAAATATCTATAAGTCTAAAAAAATAAAAAATCTAAAAGCCGTGACCGTTCGTCAGTAGGATGTATAAAATGAGTAGTAACCTGTGTCCGAATTCTGTACTCTGGCTAAAAATGAACCGGATGAGAGATTGGGCATGAGTCTGATAGAACGGTATTTTTGACCAGCGGCTTGAAAGCCCTGCATTAAACCTCGAGTCCACCCCTCATCTTCCTCTTTCTCGTGGTCTGCCGCCATCTTGCAAAGGTTCGAAATTTAAGGAATAATTTTGCATCTGTACTCCTTTTTTCGTTACATTTAAGCAAAAATATTTCGTTTAATTTCTCATCGGTCGATTTTCTCTCCTACAGGAAATTTGAAGCGGAGCCACCATGCAGATTNGGGGGGCTTACATCTGGAATGGGCTGATAATTGGGTGTAATTTTTTGTAGTAGATTTGGACGAAAACTGGGGGAAGCTTATAAGCAGCAGTTTATGGTCTGGAGTAACGAGTTGCAGCAACATTATAATCAAGAATGCAGAAATTAAATTTAAACACAGACAGGAGCCAATCGGCTCCTGACACAGAACAACAAAAATAAATTTTAAGAGGACAGACGGCAAATTGCTGTTGCTCGAAATATCTATAAGTCTAAAAAAATAAAAAATCTAAAAGCCGTGACCGTTCGTCAGTAGGATGTCTAAAATGAGTAGTAACCTGTGTCCGAATTCTGTACTCTGGCTAAAAATGAACCGGATGAGAGATTGGGCATGAGTCTGATAGAACGGTATTTTTGACCAGCGGCTTGAAAGCCCTGCATTAAACCTCGAGTCCACCCCTCATCTTCCTCTTTCTCGTGGTCTGCCGCCATCTTGCAAAGGTTCGAAATTCATGGAATAATTTTGTATCTGTACTCCTTTTTTCGTTACATTTAAGCAAAAATATTTCGTTTAATTTCTCATCGGTCGATTTTCTCTGCTACAGGAAATTTGAAGCGGAGCCACCATGCAGATTTTCGTTAAAACATTGACTGGGAAAACGATCACTTTAGAGGTTAGTGTAATTTATTTGGTGACACGTGCGTTCAGATTAAACGCTTTTACGACTGATTTAGTTTACGCAAACCAGAGGGAATGGCCCGTACCGATATTTTTAAAACGTTCCAGTAATGCTATGGCAAGGATGTTTTATTTCCGTACACATTTACGCTAACTTACTGGTATTAAGGCTAAAATGAAAAACTTTGAATGGTTAAATTTCCTTCCAACCCCATACATATAAAACTTATTATGCGTGCAGCAATTTCACACAAATAGTTAACATGAGTCGAAACATGTACGCATATTGAATGTATGGGGCTTTATGGAAGTCTTACCAGAATTTTATCTCAAGTTTACCCTGGCAGGGAGCAACTATATTTGTAGGCTATTAAATCCCCAAATTTTAGGTTTCCATTTTCAGATTGGTGATCAAGTCTCACTCATTATCTCTAATCAAGGCAAACTTACTTGTTCTTTAAACTTTATACTTATATGTGCCCCTCTTTCTATCTAAAACTTATCTTTCTTGTTCTTTAAACACTTGTCATGGCTTGCGAGCAACCGAGCAACTTACCTTGCAAGATGGCTGTATAGTCTGCATCTACTACCCACCAATGTTTTGTCTTTTCTGCCAACTTGATAATTATCAAGGACAGATCAAGAGGCACACACTGGACTGGCAGTGTATGCCAGGTCTTTTTTACATGTCTGTAGTTGCTTGGAATGTCTCTTTCATTGCTGACAAGTTGTACAAGTTATGACTTAATTTAACGAGCCAAAGGCCCAAACAGCCCGAGCTTATCCCGGTTTCATTAGCATGAAGCACCTAGGACTATTGCTACTCCCCCCTGGTCGGGATGCTAGTCCATCGCAGGGTCAACCCCCAGCAGTATGTTGCTGGTACCCATTTATACACCTGGGTGAAGAGAGACAAAGTGGAGTAAAGTTACTTGCCTAAGGAAACATCGTGACGGGCAAGGCTTGCACCCCAGACCTCCAAATCCAGAGTTTGAGATGTTAACCACTCAGCCACACATGCCTCCACATGACTTGTATACTCTTATTTATTTTTTGTAGGTTGAACCTAGCGACTCAATTGAAAATGTAAAGACAAAGATTCAAGACAAAGAGGGTAGGTTGAACTCTGGTTTAATGTAAAATAATTTTTTAGCAATTTGACAAAAATATGTTGGTTGCATCATAAATGACTAGGCATTTAATAGGAACTCATATGGAAATCTTTGACTTATTCAGGTTCCCCTGCAAAATTACATTAACGTCTAGTACAGAACAATAATTGTTCTGTATAAGATTGTAATCTAATTTTGCATTAAAAAAATTCACGTTTCAGGGCTTGAAATAATTTCCCGGCTGGTGCCAGTCAAGTTGTCTGTTCAAACCTATTTTTGCTCGGATACAAACGATTTTGGGCCAGACAAATGTCTTTCATCGAGCGTTATCTGATTGCAATTTACAGTAAAATACATGCGCACTATTATAAAAATACTTAATTACAACACTACACACACTCTCCTGAATTTGCAGTGACAACTTTATAGAGGACAAAGCAATAAGTTTTTAACATGCAACTCCTGGAAATTGAAAAACGACTGTTTCCACCCCACCGCAAAGTGTTTCTGAAATTTCGCATGGTCACAGATGGCAGATGGGGCTGTTTTTTGCCATAAACTTGCAAATTTACATGTACAGTACAGCTCAGAGATAACTGTCCACGTTAACGTGCTTCAAACTAGTTAGCAAGAAGTTTGTTGACGCGAGTCCATTAATGTAACACGCTTAACAAATGGGCTTGCATTAGAACTGATTAGTATGTATGAGCTAGCGTATTGTTCCTGGTTTATTGTTGTCAGAATAGCCGCAGCAAAAAGCATAACATTGTCTACAAGACTCGGTGAAGACTGAAACAAGGTTTCAATTCTACACAGTAATCGACTGCTTGATTTCACAATACGAAGTAGAACAAAAGACGAACAAACACAAAATTACTTGAAGACTAAATTTTCAGTAATCCTCTAACTTTTCTCAGTCACANCAGATGGCAGATGGGGCTGTTTTTTGCCATAAACTTGCAAATTTACATGTACAGTACAGCTCAGAGATAACTGTCCACGTTAACGTGCTTCAAACTAGTTAGCAAGAAGTTTGTTGACGCGAGTCCATTAATGTAACACGCTTAACAAATGGGCTTGCATTAGAACTGATTAGTATGTATGAGCTAGCGTATTGTTCCTGGTTTATTGTTGTCAGAATAGCCGCAGCAAAAAGCATAACATTGTCTACAAGACTCGGTGAAGACTGAAACAAGGTTTCAATTCTACACAGTAATCGACTGCTTGATTTCACAATACGAAGTAGAACAAAAGACGAACAAACACAAAATTACTTGAAGACTAAATTTTCAGTAATCCTCTAACTTTTCTCAGTCACAAAAAACTTTCTACTCTATAAAATAATAAAATATACTCAGTGTTTAATTCTTGCGAGAAATTCCTGAACTATGCAAATTCAAGATACAGTATCAGTTGACAACTCCTCAGGAAATTTGCATCGATTCACATGATTCGGATGATACTTTGCGTCAAAACATTAATAGAAAATATGTTTGAACGGCATTTTGCATCATTGAAATAGCAGAAGTCGTCAGTTCACCAGTTGAACTTTAAAACAATCGATGACTTTATATCTGTCAAATCCACAATTAAAGGAAGTTTGTGTAAATAAATGTTCGATCAACGGTGTGTAAACAAAGTCTCAAGGCGCTTCTCGTTGCTTTTGTTCTTTTGGCTTGTCTTTCAAATTCAACTTGCCGATATATTTTTTTCAATTGCCTGTTTGTGAATGTCCATTGGCATTATCACAGTTGAATTTCTGGTCATCGTTGTCTATAGTCAGGGTGTCTTTTGTTGGAAACATTGCTTGTACCTGAATTGCTGTTTCGCGATTCGGAATAGCATCTCAGTTTGATATTTCGCCCTTCGCTTTTTCTGAGACATGATTGTGTACATAAAAGTTTTGCTTTGAATATACATATAAAGCTTCAGAAAACTTCAGAAACCTCCAAGAGCCTCAGAGCTTTTAAAGCAATATATAGTCTCATGCAATGCAATCTGCTTTTGAAACATAGCACAATTTTTCATCACGGTAGTTGCGGTCATAAGCTTGGCAATGAAACAGTTCATGCGTATCAAGTTCCATCGCAAATAAAAACTAGCCCAATTTTACGAGAGATTAACTCAAGCTTTAAAGAACGCGCTATATTTCCTAGTAGAATAAAAACCATTGTTTCTCGAAAGTTTTCAAGGATCGGGAATGCAATTTCAGAGCCAAAGATTGGTCATGTTACAGACAGACGTGTTTGGTATAGCTGATAGCCAGATAAGCCCAGAATCGTTTGAGGTTACAAAATAGACATGCTGTTATTTATATACACTGTTTGGTTGCATTTAGAGCAGGCTTTTGAAACCATACTTAAAGAAATGAAGCTTGATATAGATGTCCTGGAAGAAACATTCGCTTTATAACTGTTATTAGTCTTGTTTTGAGCATACAGTCGCTTGCGCTGTCTTGTGTTAAAGCTGTGTGTCTATGTAAAATTATCGAGAAATCAGACTTGGGTGAATCTTTTGCTTTCTGTCCTGCGAAACTCTATCCGCGACTTGATTCTTGACAGGCTAAGCTTGTTCTCGATTTTATATCTGTTATACATGTAGTTACCCAGGGTAGGGAAAACAAAGCAAAAACAATGAAGCATTAAACAGTGCATAACAAAAGTGAAGGCTAGTTTCAAAAACGCGCTTTCAAACCAGTTAACGATTTTGCGTTAATGTGAAAAAACGTGCATGTGTTTTGCGTGTCTGTTGGTCACTTATCTCTGAGCTGTACTGAATCTTGAAACTTCGTCACTGCAACTAGAAAATGCCCCAAAACTACCAGGTGTTCTCAGACTATTATTGCTAAAAACTGGGCACTGGCCAGTGCACGATGTAAAAGCTTTGACATCGGCACATTTCTGAGCTCATTGTTGTTTAAAAGAGCAAATGATGATCTCTGATAAAAAACAATCTTGTGCAAGACAATACCAAGTCCAAACGAGATCGCAAAGCAAATGGGGGCTTTGAACACAAAGTCGCCAGTTCTAAAAAGGTAACATTTTAATTTATAAGTAGTCGATGTTTCTGTTGTTTTTGCACAAGCTAATGCTCAACATTTCTCCCCTCCCCAAAAAAAGAAAAATTGGCGTGAAATTGTTGCTTTTTTAACGATCGTTCCCGCAAAATCGGCTGTTTTTTCCCGCAAATTTGTCTCTAAAAATCCCACGAATTTGCTTTTTTCTGCGACTTATCAGAGGCCCAGTGTTATGAACGGTTTACATCTTCTTGATCTGGTCTCCTTTTTCTCTCTTTCTGCCCCCACTTTTTTTCCTTCACGAACATCAATAATGTCCAATCTTGACCAATTGTATTTTAAAAAAGTGAAGGACTGAATTACATTAGAAGCATAGAAGAGCGGACAAAATGTCCGGTCATCTAAGGATTTGACTGGACAAAACCTATTTTTGACCGGACATTGTCCGTTGACCGGCCGTTAATTCAAGCCCTGCATTTCTCTCAAACAGGTATCTTTGAAAACTTAGTCGCCTGAACATAAAATTTACTCATCCAAACAAACAGAAGCAAAGACCAAAATAAAGGACTCAATATGGATAATCATGCAAAAGCTTTTCTGAGATGTTTCCTAGTAGTTGTTTAAATTTGTTTTTCTATTTCTGTGAGAAACAATATTTTATGGTGATCAAATAATAAGATTATGGTTTGAAGGATGTACCCTTGTACATTTAAACAATAGAAAATGTTTTCCATGTTTGCATGACCTGGTATAAACACACGAGGCGTGGGGAGAATTCGAGACAGTCATGTTCATTTTGGGTTTGCATAACTTTTAAGAATTCACCTAACCCCTTGAGTGTTTATATCAGGCTACACAAATACAGGGAAAAAGTTTTCTTCTATTGTGTTTATCCAATCAGAGTGCACGTACTATCTTTGTTATTGTATAACTGCCAACTAAACAATTTACATCTCAATAATATAATCCCTGTTGGCTTATACATGTACTCCTTACAGAACTATAAATGTGTATTTTGTACTCTGTGATCTCAGTCCCAGATCCACTGGGTGACAGCACAACTAAGTTGACAATTGATGTTAATAATAATAGTATTGTGTTATTAGTATGCTGGACAAAACTCTTCTGGATTGATGTTTTACTATACAAAAATAAAATAAGCCAAGGAACCTTTAAAATATTTTTGTCCTTTAAACTTTATTAAATTCCACACATGGAAAATGTGATCACACAAGGGAGGACTTGCATTAAGGTGTATCCAAACGTGGTAACTAAATCACAAAGGTATGCAAAATCACCTGATTTCTAAGAAAAACAAATCAAATCTTTTTCACTGAAAACAAAGTGTTGTCGTGTTAGAATGTTGTCTCAAAATAAATCCTGCAGCGAAGACAACTCGGAGCACTATAATCCTTTCATACATCAGCAGTTTAGAGAGTCAAATATTCAAGTTATAATGCTACCACCAAAGGGCAAATCGAACAGAGTTGTTTCAAGCTGCTGTGCAACAGAATGTGAGAAAATGGCAAGCTCCTTGGAGAAGAGCCGAGAATAAGGTCCCCCAACTATTCCAGAGGCTGAAATAGCAGTGTCTGAAATTCTTGGCCGACTACACTTTAACAAGGAAGCATTTTGTGGCTGGTTTTAAGCGCAAGCAACAGGCCACCATCTTCAAAACAGGTCGAAGACAGATCTATTGGCAAGAAGCTGGAGTTTTGAGATGATGAAAGTCGGAAGAAGGTGCCGTATTTCAGTGGTGAAATAACTTGTAGACTGTAAATAAGTTTTTCTTCCATTTTCTGGTTGAGTGCTTTTCAAAACATCCATGAACATGTCATGGTGACACTTTGTTATGTGATTCCTTTTTCTTAGAAATCACGTGATTTTGCATATATGTACCTTTATGATTTTGTTACTAAGTTTGGATATGCTGTAATGCAAGTCCTCCTTGCAAGGTCAACATGAAAATATTTTTCCATGTGTGAAATTTATAATAACAACACATCAATCCAGATCCAGAACAGTTTTGTCCAGCGTACTAATGATATTGTGTTGTTCTATATACAACAAGACTTTCATTAAAAATTTACCCTTTTCCTGGTCAGGTATTCCTCCTGATCAGCAGAGATTGATTTTTGCTGGCAAACAGCTTGAGGATGGAAGAACACTCAGTGATTATAACATCCAGAAAGAGTCAACCCTACATCTTGTCCTTCGCCTGAGGGGAGGGGGTAAGAAAAGAAAGAAGAAGAACTACACTACCCCCAAGAAAATCAAGCATAAGAAGAAGAAGGTGGGTGAGATGCTCTGTTTAAGATGGAAGCGCCATGTTTTCAGTGATTGCACATTTGTCATCTAAAGTTGTTCATAGTCTTATACTTTAGAAAGCAGGGTTCTCATTAAGTTTTGAAGTAGACAGGTAGGATGTAAATGTAGGCAGTGTGGCAATCAAGTGCTGTAGGCGATTTGAGGCTTTCAGGGCCTCACTTTTCCCATGTTCTTCCAACAGTTGATGGCCCAGACCTCAAGGTAGCCGGTTTTCAGCCGGTTGCTGGCACTTAATGAGAACCCTGGGAAAGTATCAGATATGGTTGGCCCAGGTTCATGCAGCTTAAATCTGCTATGTGATGACCGGGACCCACAACTTAACTTCACTAACTTGTCTTCTCTAAGAGCAGAAGTTACTGAAAATTGTGACAAACCTAAAAACGCACATGAAAAACTATTGTGAGCTTCATGTGGGGTGAAGGTTTACGCTCCAGAAATTCCAGGGGTTTTTTGTTATTGTTGTTGTTTTTACATGCTTCTCCTTTTTTAAAAAAGTACCTGGAGGATCATTTTAATAACAAAACAGACTAAAGTGCCATCCCTTTTAGATAACATGTCCGGATATGTGATCATACTTTCTGCATTATTACCACATGCAATAAATTCTATAAAAAGCAGTGTGAAAAAGGCAGTTTCTGATCATAAACCTCAAGGGGTAAACGTGATGTTTCCTTCCACCTTTAGGTCAAGCTGGCAGTGCTGAAATACTACAAAGTTAATGAAAACGGCAAGATCCTCCGCCTGCGGCGAGAATGCCCAGGGGATTCTTGTGGGGCCGGTGTTTTCATGGCCAACCACTTTGACCGCCAATACTGTGGCAAATGTTGCCTCACCTATGTGTATAGCAAACCTAAAGATGAAGGCAAACAAAAATAATTTGAAATAAAGTAGCTGTGAACTTTCCAGTCTTCTTTTGCTATAGTTTCTTGTTGGGTTTGAGGGTTGTGCAGGTGACTTGTTACTACATAGTTATTGAAAATGGAAAGATCCTCCGCCTGCTGCGAGAATGCCCAGGGGATTCTTGTGGGGCTGGTGTTTTCATGGTTAAACTACTATGTAGCAAAGCAAACTTGTTCCCGGGCCCTCTCTTCTCTCTATTCCTTGGAGCCCTGGGAATGAGGGGATGTTTGCAGCACCAGATTTTTGTGTGTGGAAATTTTGACTATTTCTCTTTCACTCTAAATGTGAGAAATAGTACAAAAGTGCCGGTGCTTTTTTTTGTTTGTTCGGGTGCATTCGCTTGCAAAATCCGGAATTAAATAATTGTGAAATTCTGACTTTATAGGTTTCTTAATCAAACGTAAAATCCAAAATGGATTTCATGCCTGGATCTCCTTATTGGAACCCATGTTTCAGACGGATTTTGATTGGGTAAACTTTGTCTGTGGATTGTTTTTTCCTGAGTGACAAAGTCGACAAAGCAAAACGGACTTAAAAAAAGTCTTTAAGTCAAGGGCATCCTTCAGAAATAAAGGTTTGTTGCAAGCAAGTTAAGTACCACTGAGATCTTAGCAAAGATGATCTGTGGGTTCGAATATTTTCATCGCATTGTTTGTTAAAAAGGGAACTTTTTGTGCCTTTTTTTCTACCTTCACCCTTTTATCTACATCCGTGAGAACATTTCTGGCAAGGCACTGCAGAAGTGCCTACCAGGTTTACCTAAAGTTAAACCAAAAGAACAAAAGCGCTTGGCACTTTCTACCTGCCAAACTATATTGGGTGTGTAGATGCAAATATACCCGAGTTTTCCTTGAAATGAAAAATACCATTGCTTTACCTATGTTTAGATCTTAACTGTATAACCCTTATGTCGTAACGCATTTCTCAATCGGGATGTATATTCCATGGGTTTTGGTAAATTTTCACGAGGCCAGTAAATCAAGGACACGATAAAAATTTAAACAGATACGTGTGTGATTGTTTTATTGAAGTTTACTTAGCCTGGGACCAGGCCCCGCAGTGGGGGAAACGCGAAACCTGGTACCAATCTAGAGTTTACTGTAATCGCTGTTTCCTATGAATCTTTTTTTCATAACGGCGACGTAATGTATTTAATGTAAAAGTATTCGTATTTGAACTTAGACTCTTCCAGTTAAAGCTGAAATGTGCATTATCGTTCGTTCTGACGAGATATGTAATGATAAATTATCTTACTTTCATTTAAGAGCGTATTGCGAATCCCATAGTAAATACATCCTACATCCTTGTTTTACTGAAATATACTTTTATTACCTGCCCTCTTGTACTAAGTCCTGCCCGCAGACATATTTCCTTATAAAGTCTGTACTCTTTCAAAAAAAAAACCGATAGCTGAGAATTGCTTTATTTTATCTGAAAGCGCTAAAATATATTGAAAAAAAAGGTTTCCAGGCAGAATCACATTAAAAGTCTTCCTCTTTGACGTCCATAGCCTTGCCTCCCACGCAGACGTTCTTAGAATTTCGTCACGCGTTCCTGTAAGAGAGGATTGCGTGACGAGCCAAAAGAAAGTCTGCGTGAAGTCTCTGATGCCGATGCTATGAGATATCTACATAAAGAATAAAGGGTGGGCAGAAATCATGAGGCTATGATAGAATTCTTGTTCCCAGCCACTGCTTATTTTGATTAAGTAATGAGGTTATTGAAGATACTGGGTTAGCCCCCCCCCCCACTTTCTTAGGGTTCGTCATGCACGGACGCGTGACGAACGCGGGGAAGGCTAATGCTGGGTAGGACGACTGAGCGCTAAGAGTAATTCAACTGTTCGCCTGGACCTTCCCTTGATGCAATGCGTTCTTATTTAATTAAATTTGTCCCAAACACAACTTTCAGTGACCCGCAAAGAGCTCCAAGTTAGAAACTGTTGAATGGCATACATCAGGGTACATTTGAAAGCGTCTTTTAAAAAGGTTGGATCCATACGTATACATTGCTCGTAGCCCAGGTATTTTTTTTATTATAAACGACACTAAAGTAATGATTTTTCAGTGTGTTTGTTTTACTAGAGCTATACGGTCGTTACTCGGCCAACCTCGGACAAATTCATGGCTGAATGATACAGCGGGAAGAATTTTCCCTTCAAAGGGTCTAGACCTAGACGCTGCATTTTCAAGCTGGAGTGCATCTCGTTGATGGTGTACTTGAGTTTCTCCGTGAAACGAGAACTGCTTGAAAGCGCACTGCTGTGCTTTCTTCTCGGGCGGGGCGAATCCAAAGCCGACATTTTGAAGAACCAAGGATGTCTTACAGCTTCTAAAGCCGTGATTCGCTGTGATGTATGTACAGTTAGCATGGATTTGACAAGGTCTTTGCATGATCGAGAAACTTTGTTCCACACTGGGGTGGATAAACTATACTGACCCCGAACAGCAGCTAATAACATTTTCTCACTGTTATCGTTCCAAAATGGCGGATAGCCCGCCACCAACAAATGAAGCAGTACGCCACAGGACCAAATATCCACAGGACAACCAATAGGGTTGTCCAGAATCGTTTCTGGCGCCAAAAACATGGGCGCGCCACGTGCAGGGCAGCATATGACGTTTGAGTGACGCGGAAGCGTAAAAGCGAATCCGAAATCGCATAGCTTTACAACAACCTGTGGAGTAGATTTCTCTGTCGCAGATGAAACGTGTTTGATAAGTATGTTGTCAGGTTTGACATCTCGGTGAACGATGCGTTTTTTGTGGAGGTACACTAAGGCTTCCAGAACCTATGGGAAAAGTACAAAAATTCAAAAAATTCTAAAGCTACCTTGGAAGTAACTGATACTGTTACCTAAAAGAAACTGACGACATTAACAAACGCCTGGAAAAAAAATTATGTTTGTGTTCTGTTTCAAAATATCACCGGCTTTAGTTTTGCTTAAGCAAATTAGTCACAGTGTCCCTGAAATATTATTGTCATAGGGCATCCAGTTAAAACGCTAGAGAATCACGACTTAGTAATATTTTTAAAAAACTGACGCTAGGAACACGGAAACAATAAGTAAGTAAATTACGGGAATATGTTGATATTGGATAGATCGTTACATCTTTACAGGTAACAACCAAACAAACTCCCCCCGACTTAGGAGCAAGTTGACTCTCTGTGCACATTAAAGCGTACTCAATTTCGAGAGTGTAGCTCGAAGAGGATAAAGGTACCAAAGGACTGGTATACGCATATAAGTTCATGCTTATCGCGAGGCAATCTCAACCCGATAGCCCGGATGGGAAAATGGCGCGTTTTGGCTTTTGCGCGGCTCCATCCTTGATTTGGGGGTAGGGGTGGAGGGGGGATGGGAATTTGCTGTTCCATTTTATTCTGTCCAAGAGTCCAAGATTGCAACTTTAGGCGCGTCACTATGCGCATGACCAAAAATGAGCTCTTCTTGGGGACAAGAACTGACTCTCAGTCGGACATTTTGAAACAGAAAGTATAATTATATTCGTGCCACCATTTTAAACTATTAACTACCCTAATAAATCAATTAGGCAAGCTCGCCTGTGACAGTGCCGTCAAGCGTTTAAGAAGGGCGAAAAGTCTCCATGTATTATTCATTTAACAGTGCAGTTTAATGAGGGTACATCAGTCGCCTTACCGAGAGTTAATTCAGTTTATTTTCTCCGATTTCTGCTTCCTTTATGAGTCAGGCTGTGGGGAAAAATCCGGAAGTATGACCGTCTTCATTTTCACAATTTGATCCCCGGTGACAAAGCATACATACCTACTGTTCCGTACGTTAAAAACGCCGAAGTGTTGTACCGGTTTTCAACAGGTTTTAGTGAGGCAAGAGAGAAATACGCTCTTGAGCGGGGACATGAGAGAGGGCATGCAGGCATCATAGTTATCTCTTTAGGAAAGACCACCATGAGCGACGCGTGCCTAGAATCCCAATTAACCATAAATTTTGATAAAATGAAGAAACCGTTAGCGGAAGATAGATAAAGTATCCACAAAGTATTATGTCTCAGATGCGTCGTTAATCCGTCTATAAGCTACACCGGAATCGTGACGCAGTCTGTGTCATGCGCCACAAAACGTGCGTTTGCTTCTCACAAGAAAGTTGCCAGTTCTTGTTTACTTCACTGGAACGCGATCTTACAAATTATGGAACGGATCGATGTCATTGAGATGGTTTTTTTTTTTTTTATGCGAGTTACCGATTTAAAAACTGAAAGCTGGCCTACCACCCCTGACTGAAAAACGCCTTGAAAACTCGTGGCAAGAGATGATTTAGCTCAGTAGATTGATCAGAAAGACGAGTTCCTTTTTTGTCAGTATCTGCAAATCTCTACTATATAAAGCATGGAGAAGTATGAGGTCATCAAGTTAATTACCCCATGGAACTTATCAATTCAATTGAAATATATGCCATTTACTTAGCGGCAAACACTGACAAGATACGTTGTGGTAAAGCAAATATACCCTTGGTATCTAGCCTTCGTAGCAAGCGTTTCCGTTTGGTTTCGGAGCAAAGAAATACCGATTTTGGCCGAGCGAGAAATGAAACGAGAGCACCATTTTTCGCGCAGTCTTTGACTCTCGTTCCTCGTTCTTTGCTCCTAAACCGCACGCAAACGCTTGCTACGCAGGCTATTGGTATCTTGCCCAGTGTGGTATTTTTATCTGTGTCATTTCGAGTGGCTTTGTTGTTTTATGGAATGTTTAGAATTAATCTCTGAATTGCCTATCGACAGATGAATAAAAAAGATACACTACGATCTCCAAAACAGAAGATTCCAAGCGCGACTTAAATCGGGTTATTTTCCCGAATACTACGCCTTAGATGAATCTTTTCACGTCGCCTTTAAGTATCTTAGCCGACTTCAGTCAAGTAGCGAGTCAGTAAGGATCACGGTACATATTTGTCATAGCCAAGCGATCTGATAAATTTTCCGCTCTGTATTGTTTAATTTTGCCATCTCCAGAAAAAGGAACTTTGAGAGGGTTAAAGTATGAGACTAGAATTTTAAAGCAAACCGCCAAGCAAATGCATTGTAAGTGAATGTGCATACAAATAAAAAGACACGTTATACAAAGATGCTAGTATTGACCCGCAGATTCCTGCTAAATCAATCCACGTGCAAAGCGTTACGGCCTCTTCTTCTCTTTTGATTCTACAGTAATTTTTTTGGGTAAAATTTGAAGGCAAAAAGAAAAACCTAAATCAATTTTTTTTAAAATTCTTTTCTAAGGATGAAAATTTGCAAAGTGGTTTTAATACATACAGCACTTCAAATGTCTCTAATTGAAAATGTTTAGCCTGAGAAAACGTAACCGGTCAGTTTTTTCCATGCCGTCAGATCGTTCCACTCTATTGTGAGATCGTTCCACAGAAAGTCAGATCGTTCCAAAGATAAAAAGTCATGTAAAGTTTTCTAAATTTGTCAAGTCAAATCTGAGTGTAAGCCCTGAGCATAGTTAGTAGGTCACCTTGGAACTATGTTCTGAGCGCTGAGAAGAGTGGCCTGTTTTCTCAGAGAAAATATGTTCTGAAATGTTATTTATCAGTCAGATAATCTCACCTGTTTCATAATATTTGCGGCATCCTTTTCGCTGTACTTCTGTCTTTGCATCATGTGATTAAAAAGGCTTCCTCCATCCACAAACTCCAACACAAAGTACAGATAGGATCCCGTAGTAAAAGAAGCGTATAATCGCACGATATTTTCGTGAATGACATCCGACCACACTTCAATTTCCCGTTGAACAGCACTCTCGTCATATTCCTTATGCCTTGTGTAAAACTCCTTCAGCGCGAACACAGTTTGTGACTTGGTTTCCACGCATCTATACACCTGAGCGAAAGACCCCTCGCCCAGCAATTCTTGGATTCTAAAATCTTCTTGGTCATCATCGGCGAACGAGATCTCGTACATGATGGTCAGTGACCTTTCGGGTTGAAGACGTGGACGCGCTGCAAGTGTGCGGTTTTTGCTTCTGACAAACGAGGTGCAAATTACGACTGCTTTGTGATCGAAGAACACGCAAAAAGTTGTTTGGATTACATCTATAAATACAAACAAACATAAAATTACGTCAAAATTAGTAGTCCTCCTTTGAGCGGGCCGACATACACCTGATATTGGATGTAACAATTAAGGCCTTTGTTATAATTGCCTTTTGTAAAGATACTAGCTGATGAGTTATCATATATATAAGTACTCGTGGAGAGCGAAAACGAAACCCAAATTCCTGTTGATTTGTCAACAAACCCTCAGAAGTGTTACGCGGCAAAAAAGAAAACAGGTTCTCTGAATGAAAACTAGGCGATTGTCACGGATTTTTCTGTTTCGATTGTCGCATTGTAATCCTTAAGGCGTTACTCACTCTTTCGTTTATGCGTTATTAGTGCAATTTAAGTAAACAGAGATAAAATTGCCGAGCAGTCGAAAGTTTTAGCACCACGAGTGAAGTAAAGAAGCTTGAGGAAAGTGGTTTTTTGACGTGCATTCCTGAAGTGACGCTTTGTTCCCTTGTCTGTTGTATTGAGAAGCACCTTGAAGCTTTTTTCATCTTCGCATCACATTGTGTAATCTTGAGCTGATTTGCAAAGAGCAAGAAAATCGCAGTTGGCCTCGCAGAAAAATGCAAGATTCCAGCTACGTCAGCCTTAAATGAATCTCGCAACTTGAGTTAACTAAAATTAGGTTTTCTCCATTCGCTTTTTTGAACTCTTGAGACGATGGATATAGCAAAATTAATGATTTATTTACTTGTTAAACAAAGCCGCAAAGTTGCTTTGAGGCGGACGTGAAGATAATTAAATGGATCGTTTTATTTGATTTTCGAGCCCTCTTTTCGTCCGGCCGGCCGAGCAACTCTTTCTTTCTCAGAAAAAGGAACTGAAATTAATTTCAGGCTGACTGAAAAACCACTTTGAAAATGAAATAAACAAATAAAGGGAAAACGTTGAACCGGTTGTCTTTTGAATCCACTTTCAAAATTCATTTACATAGCTCAAAGAAGCCCGCTAATAAAGCCTCTTGAGGAAAAAGACTTCATTTCTATACTTATTCCAGATGGTCTAAGTCATGAAATGATCATGAACCTAACTTCAAGGTTTGGAAAATTTACGGTTGTACACTTTAGTAAGACGGAGGCGACTAAATGGCGGCAGAAAATACATAGAAACTATTGTAATGATACCTTGCGTAATTAATGTTCTTATTGTCCCGTGGACCCACGCTTTTAAAACAATACGTGCCTGGCGACTCGAGGTTGAATTCGCGGCTATAAAAGTGTTTAAAACCGGCATTGTTAAATGATAATGGAAGTAATCCTTAGAGAGCATTGTCCGTGCTTGCTCAATTAGAGATAAAGTGAGCACGTTCTGGTCCTTTATCGGATATTATTACCTCAAGAATAGTTCTCTTGAATTGTGTACGTATAGGAACGATGTAACCCTATGATCGAAGACTTGCGATCAGAAAGAAAAAATACTGTAACCTGTATTTACCCTCGGCAGTATTTACAGCACAAATGGCCTGAATAATTAAACTTGAGTTCCGGAAATAATAAGAAAGTTAAAAAAGGCAAACCAGCAAGCTAAATATCGAACCTCCGGCTTCGGGACTGACCGAGAACAAACAAGCTAGGAGTCAGGCCAGAGTTGGTTTACGGGCCCGAGGCTTTCCGACTGTAAAATCCATGTGCGACCACGCTGCCTATCAGATTTATACACTGTATATACAAGTATGTGCGTCCCCGTCGGCTTACTCGAAACTCCTTAAGCCATTACAATGACAGAAAAAGAGGAGTAAAACTATCCAAAGCCTTCTTTGCAATTCTTTTGCGTAAACTAGTCACTGGCGCTCTTTTGTATTGTGAGTACAACTTCCTGGGTTTCGGGCCATGAACGGTAACCACTGACGTCACAGGTGGTACAAGGGATTGTGCGGTTCGGAAGTAGGAGTAAGACTCGTGTAAGAACCTTTTAGAATAAAGAAGATCTCGGTATTTTTGTTTTCCAAACTATGCTTCTAGTTTTCATCTAGTTTTGCACGATAGTCACCATCGCGAATAAAATCCCACGGAATACACTTCTAGAAGTGACTAATATAAAACATCTCCATGTAGCCAGCCTTATGTTGGAGATAAGGCTACACAAGAGACCATAAAGGGGTTTTTGTCTCTTGGGCTGCAAGGTAAGGTAAAGCCTTTATTTAAAGAGGGTAACCAGGTGACAGTTATGATAAAACTATAAAACATAAAATCGAAACATAAAATCAAATAGTAAAATAATTTTACAATGTCATTATATATAAAAAAAGATAAGACTGAATTAACATTAATAGACAATAAAAAAAAAAAAACTAATTAGTATTTAAAAACTAACTAGAGTGTAATTTAAAAATTTTAACTATTTAAACAACTATTAACTATCTAGACTAAAACAAGTAAAAGTTAAATGAACATTTTACTCATTTTATTATTTTACAGACTTGTTATAAGAGGTTATATGAGGCTACTTTAAATATTTAAAAGATATTCAAAATTTCGTGTCTCTCTTTGCTTAGTAATTATGTTCGTATACAATTTCGTTTTAAAGGATTTAACACTTTTTCCCTTCTTAACGTCAACGGACAGTTCATTCCAATTTTTAATCATTCTCACGCTAAAAGTGTTGCTAAAGTTAAATGGGACCTGGAGAAAATTTAGTAAAACTGAAATAATGGTATAATTTACGACAATATACGACTGGGGTAATTGTTTTCAGACTCTAAAACAAAGCTAGTAGTTCGGGAATTACACTTTGTGTTTTATTAAATTGTCTCAATTGACCCCCTGGCTTGGCTACGAGCTACACCAACTGAAAACCGTAAGCTTCGTTGCACTCTAACTTCTCTGATTCTTGTGGCACATTTAAGGACCCAAGCTACTGTTCGTCAAGAGTAGGAAACTTAACCGCGGTCTATGTGATGTGTGAACATTTATTTAAGAGGTTGATAGTCAATTGAAATTCAAGTCCTGTGTCTCCCTGTTGATTCACGGTGACGAATACAAATAAACTAAACTAAACTAAGAATGTTTTCTGCGATATGACGTCGGCCAGCAATTAAAGTAATCTTAGTAAAAGGGCAATCTTTTTAAGTCCCGATCCGTTTCTAGGCTTGTACGTCGCAATCTTCTTTTATTTCTTATCGTACATTCCAGTTGAGAAATTCCCTATCGTCCAATCTTTATACATGACTTCTATTCTAATGACTTTTTCATGTTTATCCAGAACGATGCTGCCCTAATCTCCATTATCCTTTTATCTCGATCAGTTCATTGTTTTGGACAAAACCGATATTCATGGCCTTAGATTAAACTCAGAACATTAAAAGATTTAATATTCACGAATATAAACAAAGTTTGTTTTTGTTTGCCGCATGTGGGATGCTGATATAATGAAAGCTCAAAATGTCGGTTTTCTTTTGTTCACCTTTTTATAGACTTTTGTAGTTATCACTCATTTTACGCTGAGAAATTTAAAGCAACATTTTAAGATATTTACAACCTGAAAGGGGGGAGCAGTCTTCCAGAGGAATTCTTTTAGACGAAGTTAATTCCCTCTCCTAAAGTCTCTATGATACAACTTAGGATGTAACTGATGATAAAATTTCTTCAGTAGAGGCCGAGGAAACTTTCTTTGCATGGAGGTTGCAGGTTATGGACAGTCCACAGCCTTTCAGTCTTTGCTGAACGCAAAAGTACTGAAAGAACGCGATAAATTCAAATCAGCGAATAACATAAAATATACATAACTCATAGTCTCAATAAAGATTGACAGAAAGGTTGATGGTTTAACAACATCAGCGCTGGACTATCTCTGACTCGACCACAAGTTTTTAGATGAAAAGGCCTTAAACTTTCAGGTCATTGTACTTCCGCGAGCGCTCTCTCCCGTGGGGGAACATGTACAGTGAATCGAGTTTTTCACATTTGCTCATATCATTGAGATAAGTGCAGTGGACGATTCGCTTGTGTTCTAACCAACCTACTCTTAGTAGCCGAGAAGAGCCGTTTCAATTGAATGACTTCGACTTCCGTCAAGTGCCTTGTGCGCCGACTGAACATGATCACCGCATTGGCAAAACTGTGCCCGTGACGTGCAAGGCAAAAATGCTGTAAATGCCTTCGGCTCGTGTCTTTCTAAATTATCGCAATATGTTATTTGCTTTACAAAATGAGGTGTTCTTCTAATAATTCATTCAAGTTGTTCAGCCAATACAACGCTCAATCATGCAACGCCACAACTTCGCAAAATCGTTCAAAAAACATGTTATGAGGAAGTTTTTTTCTCCTTTATATATCATCTTATATTATATTTACCACATCGGGAATGCTGCTCTCAAAGCCGACACAATGTTCCAAATTTCACGTTCATTTACCGTAAGAGTACATAAATGAATTATTGGCGGTCATGCAATCATTCAGAGGCCCCACACACTTACACGATTTCTCAGTTTGGTTGTGTAGGGTTTAAAACGGTCCATTTAAAAGTCTCGATTGGATCAGCTTTAATCACCGAGAAAAAGTGCTGCTTTGGGTTCCGTAAGGAGATCTTTCGCAATGACCTCGGTGTGTGTTACTCAGTCAAGTTTTTCCCGTGTCTTCCGGCACGGAGAGCTAATAAAAGGCTTATTAGCTTACCTTACTGAGATACTGCAACATGTAAACCACTGAGCTCGTTATCATATGCAAAAGTTCCAAACTCAGTCCAATTTAAGGGTGTTTCGACAGTCGTATTCTTCATACGGGGTTGATACAAATTTAGTTGTCCGAAACCCCGAATGAAATTACCATTTGTTTGCAAAAATAAGTTCCACTGTTAATTAAAGAGGCATTGGACAATACTGTCAGCAGATTAAGGGATCTATTTCATTGTTCGCTC